CCTTAAAAAGTAACAGGAGACATGGTGTAATACATCACAGATCTAAATAAATCTATGCTGTCATCCAAGCTCATATATAAATACTAAGTCTAATTCATTTCCTTTTACATCATACATAAAGATCTGAAACACATTCACACACCAATTTCAAGAAACATCTCCCTCGAAGTCTGTCTCACACAGATCCTCACACCAAGTGTGCGCAAAACAAGCCCATTAAAACTCGCCTTGCAACTGAGTGGGCCATCAGAAAATAACAGACTTTGGGGCAAGGAAGCACCAGGATGCAAACCAGGTAGGTAATCTGCATTAATTCAAACACAGCTAGATTGTCCACTGAAATGAGAACAGGTAAATCTAGAGATCAAAAATTAATAGCCAGACAGACGGTGGATGCAAAGGCAAACAGTGGCCACAGTTGTTACTAAAATGCCAATAAATTTACACACTTCCTGCACTAAATATTTTAGTATATCACTGCAAGAGGAAACACTACTGAAAATTCTGTCCCTTGCTTTTTCTAATATATGCCATAAAGATCGACAAGCACACTGCAACAGAATGTTTATAAAACAAAGGAAAATATTTCTAAACAGAACCATTTTCTAGTAAAAAGTATTAAAAAATTATAGTCAGTCAAAGTAAACAATGGAGAAATTCTATCATTCATATGAGGCCAAGCAGGGGCAACCCTTCCAATTATTTTTTTTTTACAGGTTAGAAAAGTTTAAAGCATCATATTAAATCCAAATCTAATGCGCACCAAACTCTCTCCCAGGATAAGCAATGGGAGCCTTCTTCCCCTGTCACTGATTGCTAATCCAGACGATTTAATAAAGATGTAGATTTGATATATGGGGAGTTTATTGTGTAATTTCAAGACAAAGGCAATAGCTTCTTTTTTCACTAAATTTTTTAAACTGTGTAAGTTTCAGCAGCCCAGTGAGACAAAGCAGCATCGGGAATCACAGCTCCCTCGCTGGAAAAGGCGCTGAGCTTTGCTGCTGAACTCGCTTCCACAGCGCTCACTACAACACAGCCGCTCACAGCACATTGCTTGCAGTGAGGGTTCTGTGCCTCAAAAACCTCACCAGAGGTCTGACTAACTCAGTCCTGGTAAACAAACACAGTCCCTTGGTAAAGCCTCTAAAAGAACCAAGCAATATTTAAAATAAAGCAGGCAGCAGAGTGCACTGGAAAAGGAAAGAAAACAAAGGCTCCCGGCCGCATCTGGACCAAATTTGACCTTTGTTAACGTATTTCTAGTAATTCACAGATGTTACACACTGCTCCAGCAAGAGGGTTGGCCTCTGGGCTCATTCCAGTGACAGGTTCGGTGTAACAATGAAATATTAACAAAAATTCATACATGAAGGCTAACGGCGCGGCGTGGCACGTGCCCGTCAGCCCGGACTGACGAGCCCAACAGCCACCAAGCAGAAAAATATACTCCCATCCTTTCCAACCAACACCTGCACAGCTCTAGGTACATACTGATGTCTTCACCTGACATGGGACTTTCAAAATTTCAATTGAAAACTAAAAACCAAAACCCCACCAGCACTTAATTAGTGGGTGTCTAAAGAATACTAATACACATTTCACTGAAGAGGAAATTGTTCTGGTTCAGTCAAACCAGCAAAAACAAAACCCCATTAAACTGGCCCCAGGTTTTTAAGTGAATTTGATCAGGTTATTCTTTGTCGACTAGAGCTGTGGTGCTGGAAGTCAAGACAACCGCTCTAGACTCAGTGTTATTTATCTCTCATCCCCAGCTCAAGCTGCTAGGCAGAGGAAAACATGAAATTCTAGAAAGCATTTTCAGGGGAAAAAAAAACCAAAACCTACCAGCTACTTCACATAAAACATGTTGGTACAAGAAATGATGCATCAGGGAAAACTCCTTTCAGAAAACACATTTCAGGGCAGAGCCACGTCCAGGCAGCATTACTAATACTACATTCCGAAACGGAACGTGAACGCACGCACAGAGCTCGCGGCAGGCCAGCGCGGAGGTGGCACACCTCACGGGGACACCAGCAGCACCGGTGTCTGCTCTCAGCAACCTCCAGACACACATCTCACACAACTGCCAGAGTTCTCCCAATCATTTTAATGCCATTATGGGAAAAAAGGTGACCTCTAAGGTGTCTGAGTAGCCATTAAAACAACCCAAGTTGCTTCCCCCATAATCTGCGCACTAACAGAGTATTTGAGAAGTTCCTGATCCTGCTGTGTTTTGGGGAGCCTGCTCTTTCCTTCATGGCCAGCACTGAAGTCAGACCCTTTGGTCCGGGCACTGGCTGAGAGTGGCAGGCAGTGGACAAATTGCCCAGCACTGCACCAAAGGGAAGCTGCCCCCCAACACCCACCTCCCCTTCCTCCACCTCCTCTTCCTCCACCTCCCCGGCACCTGAGGAGCGCCGGTGCCAATCGCAGCAGTGCCACAATGGGAATAAATCCCCGACCGCTCTCACGACAGGTGCAAAGCAGAAACCCCAAACAAGCCTCCACTGGGGAGGACCCCGGGTCTAATGCTGCTCTCACTAACTCCCCAGCCCCAAAACGGTGCCCACCTTCCAGCACGGAACGCCGAGGAACTGCCTGAATTCAGAGGAGCGCTGTCTGGAGCCTGCGCATCCACCCGGACACTGGGTTTCTGCTGGAACAAACACCACAGTGCAAATCCCAGCCGACTGAGAAGGCTTAAAATCTCAGCCCACGTCTAAAGAAAGCCTTTTCTTAAACACAGTTTCACACACTCAGGGGTATGGCAATGTTAAGTTTAATTATTTCTACTGACCGAGGTGAACAGCCTGTTTTGTCTCACCCATTGTATCTTTATCATCTCCAACAACAGTTAAAGTAAATTCTCCGTGAGTCTGTATAAATTTCCTCATCCGAGGAACCAGCCCATTCAAATCCCTCAAGTGACTAAAGCATGAACCAACCCGAGCGCCTCTGCATTGTTGTGGAACTGGTTTGCTATTTTATGTTAAGCCTCTGAAAAACTAAAACATATCCTTATATAGGAACACTGATTAAATGGTTTTCCTTCCAAGTGATGAACTGTTTTAACACCAACATTGTGGTTATCGCGACCAGAAAGCAATTACTTCTTTCACTAGCTGTTACTAAGAATAGCTGTGATCAAAGTGACTGGAGGAGTGCTGTTAAAAGACGCTGCAGAGCATCGCTCCATATGACACACACAAAATATAGATCATTTTAAACCAAATTACACTTTTAATAAATGTGCTGTTCAGAATTAAATCACTGCTCAGGATTTCTTTTAAATCACTGCTCAGGATTTCTTTTTTCACCCAGGAAGTCAAGATCTGTAGATGTTATTCTTTCAAAATCTATTTCTAAACACAGCACGGGGTGAGATCTGTGTATCTGTGTGCGTGTGAAAGTGCACACGTAAGGGGGTGCGTGTGGTGTGAGAGAACGTATGTATGTGCTTGAGCCTGCCAAGGCAGAAGTAACAGGAACTGTGATTTGTGCTAACTAGCTATTGATCCAGTCAGATCTAGATGTTGTGTACAAGAAACAATAAAAGAGAAGGGGCCAGGAAGGATGCTGTGTGCAACTCCATTTAAAAATGGAAAAGAAGGGCCCCAAACAAACCAATTTATGTCCTTGCCTGGGTGAAGCATGGAGAATGCTGATGGGCTTCCTTGGGTCTGCCGTGCATGCTAAACACTCTGCTCAAAATGAGAGTCTCCTGCGCTGGGCATTAAACATGAACAAAGAGACAAACCGTGGGGGCTAGGATTCACGCTTCAGAAAGCCAAAGCTGCAAAGCCAACCAGAACCAGGTTAGGAAACAGCCCAGTTTCCTAACCAGCTCCCTTCTAATTTCACCAACAACTTTCTCAGCAAAATTATTAAACATAGAAGGCTGTAAAAAGTCAGTCTCTACTACCAGAGAAAATGAAAACTATTTCAAACTACACTGTAGTATCAGAATATCACCTTTCCTAGGCACAAATAATGAGTTTATATTGTGTAACCTGCACACATGTATTTCTAGCACACCAAAACCAACCTGCCTGCCCTCAGATAGCAGGTACAGCATGTGCACCCGTTGTAACAATCACATATACAGCTAGGCAGGTTGCAAAATAGGGATTTGATAAGATAAAATAGAAACCAATTGAATCTATAATCATCCTTATCTTAAACAGCTTTTATAATAGAGGGTTTTCCATTAAAATATTTTTTTTTAAGCCTGGGGAATTATGATGCCCTCTGGACACAAGGAAGGATCAAAAATGACAACTAATGTCAAAATTAAACATCAGTCAACTAAGCAAGTTTTACACTAACAGACCCAGAGCCTTATTTTAAACTGCCTTTCAGTTAAATCAAAAATAATTAGTTACAAGCCGTTCAGCTCAGTATCATACTGTTGTGGGCTCCAAATGCAAGCAGGGGGCACCTGGACCTGAAGGAGCAGAACTACCACCAGATTCATGTTTTTGTGGACAGGGAAAACCTCAGTCATAGTTCTGGGAAAGTGGCTGGAAGGTTCAGATGGCACCAGGGTCTGTGGGAGCCCCCTCCTCAGCACCCCATGCTTAGTAGGACCCTGCAGGAGCCCCCTCATCAAAACCTCAGGCTGCAGTTCCTTTCTGCAGCATCCCAGACCCAGAAGCACAGGTGAGGCTGACTGGGAGCCCCTCTGCTCACCACTCCCACCTGCCATTCTCTAGGAGGCATGATGGGGACAGGGCAGAGATGCCATGGGCAGTTGTCACCTGGGCCAGTCAGGCAGCAGACACTTTGTCCCTGACACTGCCCACCCCCCATCAGAGCCACCCAGTACCCTGCATCCTGCAGCCCCAGCCCAGACTGAGAAGGTGCCTGGCACTCACCAGGGGTGGAGCCTGTGTGTGCCCAGAGTACCAGAGCTGCAGCCTCACCATGTCCCCTTCCCTGAGCAGCCCACAACCACCCCTACCCCTGTGCCAGCACCCCTGTGGGACAACTGATACCTTCTTTGCTGGGGTTCGGGGGCTTGGGCTTCTCCCAGGGCGCCATGGGCTTGTCCTCCTCCTGCCCCTCCATCAGGGCCTTCTCTCCAGGCAGGTACCAGGTGGAGTTGTGCTCTGCCATCAGGGAGTCCAGGTCGATGGTGCTCATGGTGCCCTTGACACCCTCCGAGCAGCAGCTGCCCAGGTCACTGTCCCCATTCTGCCCCGCACACTCCCCCTTCTTGCTCTTCAACCCCAAGGGCTGGTCTTCCGAGATGCTGAACTGCTGCCGCTGGAGCTGGATCTGCGCCTGCAGGATTTCCAGGGGATGGATCTCATCCTGGGCCGAGGTGCTTGTGGGGGTCCGCACCTGCTCCATGCTTGGCGTGCCAGGGTGAGCGCCCGCCGTGGTGCTGAGCCCGTAGCTGTCGGGGGTCGAGGTAGATGTACTGAGAAGGCCAAGGGCCAGGGGCTTCTGTCCGTTGAGAAGTGCGTGCTCCCCACGGGGCAGCTTGGGCGAACCACCCAGCAGCGGGCTACGGGTGGGCTTGGAGGTGGCATTGTCGGAGCTGGAGGACACCTCGTCCTCGTTGCCATAGCTGGTGCTGACCTCGTCGGGAAAGTCCACGTGCGGGGAGCTGCCGTCTGACTTGGTCACGCTCTGGATGCCGCTGTCCAGGGAGGACATCAGGTCGGGCTGCTCCGCCAGCAACAGTTCACTGCCCTTGCCCCAGGACGGTGAGGTCAGGGGCTTGTCGTGAGGGGTGCCCCCACCGCGCTCGGCGCCCGCAGCCCCCGGCGGGGCCCCCGCCGCCACCGGCACTGCCGGCTGCCCTGGGCTGACACCGGCTCCCCCGCCCTCGGCAGCTGAGAACTTGTCAAAAAACGTGCCGGGGCTGACGTGCCCACTGTCCCGTTTCCGACGACCCCGACCCCGCCCGCCACCCGCCTTCCCCTCGCCGCCGGCCACCGGCTCCAGCGCGTAGCCGGGTGAGAGGCTGCTCTCCGCAGGCAGCAGCGGGGCAGCGCCCGCTGCCTTGCCCGTGCCACCCCCACCCACTGGCGGCCCAGCCGGGAAGTAGTCCGGGGCAGCAGGTGGCGGGTCAGGCTCGGCCTGGCTGAGCTTGCGCTTGGCCTCGGCCGGGCTCTTCTTGTTGAAGGTGACGTTGAGGTTGGGAGCGCCCAGGCTCGCGATCATGTTTTGGCAGGCAGTGGAGAGGGCGGCCAGGCAGCTCTGCCCAAAGACATTGTCCTTGCTGGCCGCCTTGCTGAAGGAGCCCAGCGAGAGGGCACCCAGCTTGCTGGCAGCGGGCCGTGGTGGGGGTGGCGGGGGAAACTCGGGCGGGGGCGGTGGGTAGGCACCCGGCGAGGCGCTGAGGGCAGGGGCAGCCCCGTGGGCCGCCGGCTGCCGCGCCGCCGCCCCGAAGGGGAAGCCAGGCTGAGCGGCAAAGTCGGCGGGGCCACGGCGCTCAGCGGGGCCGCTGGGCAGTGCCACTCCGCTGCCTGGTGACTGCAGCTGCGAGAGGCCACCCATCGTGGGTGTGAAGGGAGGATGGACGCCGGGCGACGGCAGGGCCTGCGCTGGCCCCTCGCCTGGCATCCGCAAGGGCTCCTGCAGCCCCAGCCCACCGGCACCCGGCCGGAAGAGCACGGCGGGGCCACCCGGCTGCAGGCCCAGCTCGTGGGGGGCTGCTTCGGCTGGCAGCCCGGGCGCTGCCAGGCGCCTCGGCAGCAGCTCCCCAGGCGGCGGCGGCCCCGCGAACCAGCCGCTGTCGGGGGCCAGGTGCGGCGCCGGCGCCTCGAAGCTGCGGCCGCCACCGGCCTCCCGCTCGAAGGCTGGCGGGGGCAGGCTGCCGGGCGCGCCCACCTCGCCGTGATGCCCCAGCTGCTGCAGACTGGGCGGCCGCAGGCGCTGCTGGCTTCGCGAGGCCATCTGCTTCATCACCAGGGCCGCGTTCTGGCGCTGCGCCAGAGCCGGGTGCTCGGGGCCGCCGTGTGGCAATGGGCCCCCGAAAGCCTCGGGTGCCGGCGGGGTGAACTCGCCCGGCAGGCCAGGGTAGGCCGTCGGGGAAAGGTGACTCTCCATGGCCGGGCCGTGCATGCCGCCGCCCCAGGAGGCGCAGCGCTCGACGCCAGGAGTGTTGGGGAAGTCAAACCGCGGCCTCTTGGCGACGCTCACGTAGGGGGCATCGAAGTGCTGCAGTCTTTGATTTGGTGGCTGTTGCGGAGGAGGGTGCTGCATATTAAACACGGGGTCGGTGTAGGGATGCATATTCCTGTTCTCCAGTCTGTGAATAGGGTATTCAAACTGTGCATGCTGGTTCTGCATTATGGGCCCATTGTCCTGCAGGTTGGAGTTAGGAGCGTTGGCTTCTGTTTGCTGTTGCCTAGGGATGGCTGGCGGGCAGGAGTTCTGTCTGGCCAGCAAGCCCGGCGGCTGCTGCGGTGGTTGCGGTGGTGGTGGCGGCTGCTGCTGCTGCTGCTGCTGCATCAGCGGGTGCCTGGCGTTGGCCCCCGGCTCCAGACTGGCCGACATCTTCCGCGCCCCCCCGAAGCGCTCGAAGAAGACGCCGTGCTGCTGCGGCGGGTGCGCCTTGGCCACGGCCATGCCCGGCGCCCGGGGCAGGGCGGGCGCCCCCGCGAAGCTGCCGCCCGCCGGCACCTGCCGCCCGCCGCCGTAGTGCGGCAGCTGCCCCTCCGGCTCCGACGGGGAGAAGACGGGCAGCTCGAAGTGGCTGGCAGGGCCGTCGCCAGGGTAATTGTATTCCAGCGAGTCCACGCCGCCCTGCGCCGGCAGCCGCCGCGGCTCCAGGCCGTGGGGCTCGGAGGAGCCGGCCGCCGGCAGCCCGTGGAAGGAGGCAGCGCGGTTGGGGGACTGGTCGAGGGGCAGGCAGGGCGCCGGCACGGCGTGGCTGGCGGCGCCGGCGCCGTGGTGCTGGAAATCGGGCAAGGTCCCGGGGCGCTGCTGCCCGAAGCCCTCGCCACCCTGGCCCTCGGCCATGTGCTCGTAGCCGTCGGCGAACGCCGTCTGCCCGCCCAGCGCACCGCTGTAGCCCAGAAGGCGCCCGCCGTGCACGCAGGAGGCGCCGGGGTCGGGCCCGAAGCCGCCGCCGAAGTGCGGGGGGTGCTGGTGCGGGTGGGGGGCGCCGCCGGGGCCGCCGTGCGGCTGCTGTCCGCCGAAGAAGCCGTGCACGGGCGGCTGCATGCCGCCGCCGTGCAGCTCGGCGGGGCCGCGACCCGGGAAGCCGTAGCCGTCCCCGGCCAGGCTCATGTTCATGCCCAAGAGGGGCGGCTCGCCCAGCGCTCCCAGGGCCGGGTCCGCCGGTGCTGGGCCGCCGCCGGGGAAGGCCGGCGCCTTGAAGTGCGCGCTCATGCTCAGTCCGGGCTGGCCGAAGCCCCGCTCCGCCTGCCCGCCGCTCCGGCCGCTGTTCTGCGGCTCGAACTGCTCCAGCCCGAACATCCTGCGCGGCTCCTCAGCAGGGCATGGCTGCTCCGCGCCGCTCCGCCGTCCCGCTGCCCGCCGCTCCCCGCTGCTCCGCTCCGCGCCACTCGGCCGCCCCCGCTCACATCCTGCCGCGCCGCCGGCACCGGCCGCTCGCCCGCGCTCACCCCGCCGCTCGCCGCTCACTGCCGCCCGAGAGCCGACGGGGCGGCGCGCCGCCGCTCACAGGCTCCGGCGCCCGGGAGCTGCGCGCCGCATCGCCGGCCGGCCGTGCGCTCCCGCGGCTCGCAGCGCTCCGGCGGCGGCGGGGCCGGGGCGCGGGGCCGGGCGGGCGCTGCGAGGGCTGCGCCGCGCTCCCCGCGCGCTGCCGCGCTCTCACCCAGCGCTGGCGGAGCAGCAACAAGTTTTGCATTTCAGCGATGAATTTCAGCCATCGGGGCTGCGCCAATGAGCGCCGCGGTCCGGGGCGGGGCTGCCGTTAAGGTGGCTCCGCCGCCGGCCCCGTGCCCCGCCCGCACCGCGCCCCGCACCGCCCCCCGTGCCCGGCGGCGCCGCTGCTCCCGCGGCGCACGGAGCGCGGCCGGACGGGGAGGTACGCGGTACCTCGGGGTCCCGGAGCGGGGTCCCGAAACGGGGCGGGGGCCACCGGAGCTGACACCAAGTGGCGGGTGTGGGGAGCCAACTGCTGCACTGCCCGCCGGGGCGAAACCCGCCCGGCAGCCCCGAGCCCGGGGGAACAGGAGCGGCCCCGCCGGCCCGCCCCGAGCAGGGCACCGCACGGAGCCTCGCGGGGAGCGGGCGCTGCGACAGCGGGGGAAGTCACTACCCCGTTCCCCCGGAGGGACAAACACCCACCGGGCCAGGGGGCCCACAGATCGCCGGCGGGACACGGTGCTTCAGGTGCTCGCGGATGCACATGTCGATAGTTTAAAGAAATAGTAATGAATATTGCTCCCATCTAAAAAAAATGAGATCTATAAATAAGCGGCTGAGGACTGTTTGTATATGGCAGGAGAGTTTTAACGGGATTTTTTTCTGCAGGATCAGGATGCTGCGCTGTGATTAAATATTGATTTTGTGTAATTAGTTTTCATGTGAACTATCCTCCTTGCTGATGGCCTGGAGATTTCAGAACTGGCTAAGAAATGGAATTGGACGTGGAAATTATTACTTAGCGAAGTGACAAGGGGGGGAAAGAGGGGGGCGCGGGGCTCGAGCTGCGGGGAGGGCACCGGGGTGGAAAACGCAGCACGCGCGGCGCGACCGCGGCACAAAGGAACGAAGGGGATGTCTCGCTCCTCGCTACGGGAACGGCGGCAACGGAGGCAGAGACTGAGGGAGAGACGAGGCCGCCGGCCCCTGTATAGGGTCAGCGGTCCGGACCGACGGCTGCGCCGGCCGGCGCCCCGCAGCCCGGCTCCGCACCCGGCGCGGCTCCGGGTCAGAGGCGGCTCCGCGCCCGGGGCTCCCCCAGCGCCGCCGCCGCCGTCGCGCCCCCTCTGCGCCTGCGTGCGCGCCGTCGGAGCGGCTCTTCCGAACGGGCACAGCGCCCCCTGGCGCCCTCCGCGGCTCCGCCGGGCGCGGAGGCCCCGCGCTCTGCTCGATTCGTGCCCGCGTCCCCGTTCCGCCCCGGCGGCGGGGAGAGCCCCCGGGCCGGGCCGGGGTCAGTGCCCCCGTTCCGCCGCCCCCGCTCCGGCCCGGGGTCCGTGCCCCCGTTCCGCCGCCCCCGCTCCGGCCCGGGGTCCGTGCCCCCGTTCCGCCGCCCCCGCTCCGGCCCGGGGTCCGTGCCCCCGTTCCGCCGCCCCCGCGCCGGCCCGGGGTCCGTGCCCCCGTTCCGCCGCCCCCGCTCCGGGCCGGGGTCCGTGCCCCCGTTCCGCCCCGGCGGCGGGCGGTCGGGCCGGACGGGGCGGGCCGGGACCCGCGCGCGTTCCTCGCCGCGGAAGGGCAGGGTCGGGCGCGGTCGCCGAGAGCGGCTGCCCGGATTCGTCTTGGGGCACCGGCGCCGCCGCCACTCCCTTCCTCGGCCCGTCGTGCCGCTTTTCGGGGGGCGCTGGGCGGGCAGCGCACCGCCCCGGGATGCCGCCGCTCCCTGCCGAGCTCTGCTCGCCACGGGCACAGACCGGCCCGTAGCCCAGCGGCGTCCCCGGGGCTGCAGCCCGCGCCTCGAGTCACGGGCCCAGCCCCGCTCCCCCCGGAGCCGCCGCAGTCTCGCTGCACGGGAAATCTCATCACCCATGGCTTGGTCCAGCTCGCCCAGCATCGCTCCTGCGGACTTCGGTGGGAGCCACATGGTATCTATAGCTGGACAATAGCAAACACGGAAATAAACTCAGCCTAAGTATTCTGTCAGTACAAACAGCTCGGAATGGCAAGGTCGGATACAGCTGCGAGGTTCTGCTGGCCCGTGGTGTGCGTGTGGGAAGGTGGCTCAGCCTGTTCCTAACCCGAGATGTGTCTTGGGGCTGCCAACCTGCCCCACAGCTCCCGGTGTCCAGCACGGGGCTGGGAGCGTGGCCCTGGGCTGTGGCCAGCACTGTCAGGTCACCTGTGTCACAGAGGGTCGCAGTCCCCAGCAAAGGAGAAAGAAGCCTCTCTGAATCAGACCAAGCAGTGAAAAGTGTATTTTACAAAACATATTTTTACTTTCATTCTTAGGGTCTTGGGAGAAGCAAGGAAAGGCATTATTTAAATAGTTGTAGCTGCTGGGGATTATTTTCTAAATTAACAATAGTAATTGTGCCTGCCAAATCCAAAGTTGAGGGGATTCATTTATTTCAACTCTCCAGACAATAGCACAATTTTGGGTTTCATATTGCAAGCTCTGAAAACCAAATAGTGGGACTGATGTTTAAAAAAAATATTTCAAACAACATCAATTCATCAGACTTAAATCCAGCTCTTTCCACTGTGGCAGTTTAACTTGCACTTAGAAAAGTTGCTGCTCAGCAAAAAAAAAAGAAAAAAAAATCCTTTTTAACAAAATGAATGCATCATACATAAAACATCACGGACCATACAATTAGTAAGCAAATGTAAGAGTTCAGCTCAGTTCATAATTATTCAGCAAACCTATTCAGAATGATTTTTTCTCCCTCCAGCAATCTACTGTGTGGGCTCATTACCACTGAAAATCCAACGAAGAAACCACCACAGAAACTGCACAAAATAAGCCCATATGCTCAAGACACTTTAGCTCAGCCAGCCCTTAGCAAGAGCCTCTTAAACCCTGACATGGAGGGAACCCAAGCTCACTTCCCTGCGGTGTTTGCACTCCCAGCTCTCCAAAGGAATCCTGTCTTTAGTGCAGCTTCAGGTACTTCATTTGTAGCCACTCCCTTGTCTTCTGTGGTGCCACCAACCCCTGCTCCATGTCACACAGCCTGGTGATGGGCTGTGTCCCTGGAGCAGAGGCTCCCAACAGCCACTTCACTAAAGAGCTGATGGGTTTCTCTTGGCAGGGATTTCCCTTCCTAGCAGGGATATTTGGTGAAAGAAATTGTAATATTTTCAAGGACAGGTCTCCAAATCCGGCAGCTGACATTTTCAGGAAAGTTTTCAGCATTTCTGCCTGGAACAGTTTAGGGAAACTATCGTACCTCCTGTCTCTCAAACTACAGCAAACGTGGTGGTGGGACAGGCGCAGGAGGCAAATGTGTAAAATCATTAGATGAGCTTGTGAGTGCAGGGAGCGCAGAGCCAGCTCCCGGGGAAAGGGAGCTGGGGATGTCTGCCTGCCTGCATCTGCTCGAGCTCCTGAGAACAGAAGGATTTTTGGGTATGGAAGGGCTCTGTTGTGTGCAGGTCCCAAACCAAGCTGTGCCCAGAGCAGGCAGAGCTGCCCTGCACATGGTGCCTTGCAGGGATTTGCTGCCAGCACGGTCACATTGCTAAGAGGCACCAGCTAAAAAGCGACTTGTAGGCAATTCCAGATCCGACCTCTGCCACTGCTTGTCCTTCCCTGTTTGAGTGTCTGGAGGTGAAATGGTTTGTAATTGAGATTAAAGACAATTTCATCTGTGAAACCTGATTTGCATTCGGTTTCTGGGAAATTCACCTTGCCGGTGTAAAAATTTCATGCTTAGTTTTACTAACAATGTGGTTTCTGAAAAGACTGAACCAAATCCCTTCAGACACTTTACTGCTTCCCATTTTTAAAAATGCATAGCTGAATAAACAGAGTTAAGGGACTAAAACCACCTCAGCCATTTCCGATAGGGATAGACAGCAATTTCAGAATTTAGCCCTTCACAGGGATTTTCCTGTTTGGTTCTTCTGCCAGGTTGGTTCAATTGGGCTTAGTTCCTTTACATGTCTGCAACCTTAAGCTGTGTATGTTTCCTGTTTGGGTTTACAGGTTTCTCAGTGTGGATAATGACATTTTCACAATATCAGTAAAGTTTTCTTTGCTGCAAAAAGCTTTTTTTTTTTTTTTTTTGCCAATTTAGTATATTGGGTGCCCTTTATGCCACTTTGGTGAAAACTTTTGCAGCACATGGGGCATTTTTGTGTACATATAATGAATACCAAAAATATGTTTATATTGAACATATAATTTCAGATGACTGAAAAACAGGATAGTGCTAAAATCATACAACACTGGGAGTGTACATTAGCAAAAACATAGGAAATCTTAAAGCAATTTTTCCAGTCCATAGCACAGTTCACTGCTTGGGATTTTACTTTTCCCCTTCAAATTCCCATCCCTAAAACACACAAACACACATGTAGGATCAGGTATTGGGAAAGGGATATTAAAAAAATTATATATATATATATATATATATATATATATATATATATATATACACATATATATATATATAGCACAACAGAAATAGACAGAAATAGTGAATTAGTTTGACTACAGGAAAATTAGAAGTTTTATGTTTCCTAAAATAGCTCACTGAAACATAAATAACAAAATGGCACCTCTCTGTACAGCTAATCAGTGTTTAACTCTACTTGGTGTTTTATGGTGGAGTTTGTGTGACCCAACTTTGTTCTGCTGTTTTCCTAAACTTGAACCAGGTGGGAATTTATATAAAGTGTGGTGGAGCAAGAACAATCTTTGAGCATCTGGAAAGTCTGGCTCACTGTGGGTGATGCCAGAAAACCACCAAAGTTAATTCATTTTTCATCATCTTATAAATTGAATTACTGTGAAAAGAGAGAGCCAGAGGGTGTTTTATAAAGTCCTGATGACTTAATTTCCCCTAAGAATTAACTTCACGAGAGCACTTGGTGGTTCCTCTCCTCATCCTGCCATCCCCAAGGATGCCACATGCCAGGGTCCCATCCTGTCCTTGCCTCCATCCCTACTGGGCACAGCTGGGCCATTGGGGGCAGGTTTGGAAGTCACTGGTTCTCAGGAGGGCACCCACTGGGGACCAGGCTGGTTCTCAGGAGGGCACCCACTGGGGACCAGGCTGGCTTCTCCTGGAGAACCTCCCGCAGGGCTGTGTCTGAGCATCCCCCGCGTTCCGCGGTGCCCTGCTGACCGCCGCCGTCCATCCCATTCCAGCCCTCAGGGCTGGGGATGCTGGCTCAGGGCTCCCTGCCCTCGGCCCGTGACCTCCTGGCTCTGCTGGAGAACACACTGCACGTCCTGGGGTGATAGGGGTGCCCGAGACCACAGGGGCCAGAACTCAAACCACCAGGCAAATAAAGCTGCTCCTGTGTTTATTATTAATCGTGGTACTTCATAAGGTTGAACGGCACGACGTGCGTTCCTCAGCCACTGGTGAACCTTGGCTCACAGTCCTGACTTTTCCAATTTAAATCAAGTGCCCCTGCCCACACACCGTAGGGAAGAGGCATCCCAAGGCAGTCCAGCAGCATGAATTCACCTGATCTGCCTAGAGAATGATTTGCTTTCCAGCAGGAGTTACTCCGGCACTATTGGCTGGCCCGGCAGCCCTGGCCCTCGCCTGACAGCCTCCCCCAAACCTCCCATCTCCCGCCAGAGGCACAAAGGGTTAAGGATCTCCTGCTGCCCACAACCATCGCTCCTCCATCACGGCCCCTCAGCATCTGTACAAAGGGCCTGATTTAATCCGGGTTGCAGACGACTCACATTGTACTCGCAGCCTCGGAGTGATGTTGGGTGATCAGGTTTCCAACTAATATCCAAGGCACAGCCCGAGCACTGAGCGGGAACAAAGGCACCTTTGTTACTGAAGAAAAAAAATCCCCTGAAGATATTAGCAGTGCAGTAGAGTTCAAACTGTTAAATGATTCAAATATTATTTAATGAATACATTTGAAATGAGGTCTCACAACCCAGAACACTTTTTAGATCATCATTTACAAAGAGCCGCCTCTTCGCTTACTTCTTTATGAAGTTGCTGATTTCAGATTTCAATTATGGTTATTTTGCTTCCAGTCTTTTTCAGAGACTTCCCATGTTGATGCAACTCAGTTCTTTTTACGGTATAGTTTAGCCAGTGACTACTGGGTTCTTCAGAAGTCCTGATAATCACATTTCTTTAATTTACCTTGGACTGTGTGAGAAACAAGGGAGACAGAGACTATTGCAGAAGGAGCAACAGTATTAGGTGTTGTTCTAGAGGATGCTAAAGCCAAGCTTATAAAAGAGAAATTTGTAAATAAGCCTATCAAGATTTTAGTTGGGATTGGAGAAGCTCTGTTGTTCAGGTTCAACAAATACTTCATCTTTCTTGTGTGTCTTGGATGTGCAATTCTAAACCAGAAAGCCATGTAATTTTAGAGAGAAAAATTGAAGAATAAAGGTAGATGGGGTTCAGGAAAGAAACAAGTCTCCAACCTGAGGAATAAAGTTTTTAAATTAAATTAGGGCTTCCTGTGCTTATAGCAATTAGAAATCCAAGGCTGCTCTGAAGCATGGACGGCAGATATTGTCCCTAAAGGGCAACAGCAGCACATCTGGGGCTGTGCTGCTGTCTGCTGAGAGGTTTTTAAAAAATACAGCATAACTAGCAAAAGTGGGGAAATAGCACCAAAACAAGTTATCAGAACAAGTACCAGCATACCAGCAAAAAAAAAAAGGCACAGGGCAGTGGCAGAAATACCTCCAGACTGTCTTCAGGTGCACTGCAAAGAAATCACAGCCCCTCACAGCAGGCACCCTCCTGGCTCTGCTGCCAGGGGCTGGGACCTCAAATAGCCTCTGCTGAGGAAACAGGGACAGCAGCACAGGATTTCACTTAACTCACATGAAGGGTCCTCATGCAGGTGATGCCTCAAGTGGAAACAACTGAAAATCTGCCTCCAAAACCCGGGCTTGACACATTATCATTATAATCTTCCAAACTACTGTGCATGCCAGAACTCTGTTTGTGGTAGGGTTTGCACATTGAATTCTGCCCACAGCAGGCAACAAGGAGAAGAGAAGGCTCCCAGGAATAAAATGTCTGCAGCCATCACTCTGGATAATCTCTGCTTCCTGACAATTACATGCTGTTGATGACAATTAATTTTTCATATCAATTCAAGCAAGTAGAAACTTTAATTAAAAGCTACAAAACTTCAAAGAAAATCGTTTCCCAATGACTTTATTAAGACACAATTCAACGTAGAACACTCTTGAATTGTATGAACTGAATAAAAACCACAGCAACAACCCCGTGCTTCAGATTTTGCCATAAAATCATAGAACTGCTTTTCAAGGACATGATGTAGCTGCTAAACATGGCTGCATCAACTGCAGCTTGGAAATACAGGATAAGTTGTCTTACAGCACATTTTCAGATTGCTCAGAGAGTATTTAGAAAGGACTGAGGGTGGAAAATCCCAAAAGACCCAAAATCTCAGCAGATTTTTTTCCCCTGACATTCCTCAGTCTACATGTAAAGGTAAAAGACAGAAATCATTCTCCTTTCTCTTCAGTGATTAAAAATCCTCCAGAAAAAGAGCAAATTCCTTACAAGTCCCCTTTAGATCACACTTGTGTACAGTCAAGTGATGGATTTCAAAGGTTACTGTTGGAATATGGTTCCCAGCAGTCTATTGCAGTGAATAACTATCACGTTTACATATCCATTACATCAAAACTATGTTACACTTCCACTGCTTCCTGTTGGTTCACCATCTGGAAGCTAAACAAGCTGGTAGTAAAGAGAGAATTCAATTCTGCATTTACCAAAGGAGCCCTACAAGCCCTCCTTTGCAGCAGGTGATTGCACAACCTGAACAGGCAGAACCCTGCCCCAGAGCCAGCACTGGGCCTGCAGCTCAGCCAGCCCCAGGAATGGGACCCCAGGGAGGGACACCAGGAGCCCCTCAGCACCTCTGGTGCCCTGTGGGAGGCACCTCCTCATGCCCTGTCACAGCTCTGCCAGTCCAGCATCCTCCTTGATTTCACTCCTTCTGAAATCCCAAACCAAACCCAGCCCCAGGTGAGAGTGGCCTATTGGACACCAAACAGCTCAGGAGCAAAACGTGAGTGCCTGAGATAAGAGACAGAGCTTTTTATGATCAATTTATTTAATTAAATTTCATTGCCTGCTTTACTTGTCAGTTGCACCAGAGACTGCCAAAGGAAAGGAAACATTGTACATTCACTACAAGATTCTCTCAATTTTCACAACTAGTCCAAATCCATGGAAGTCACAGGGCCCTTTTCCCTCTGTGTTGCAACACATTAAAAATGGCAGGACACAAACTCCAGCACTGAGACCTGAGCCCTTGGGTTCCAGGGGTACTTAATGACCTCTGTGTGTGTGTGCCACATCTCTGCATTCACCAACCCAACCTGCTGCTGGTACAGGACAACCAGCCACTGAACGAACCCAGAAAGGAAACCAAACACATTACTGTGGGGCTGGAGGGTGGCTGCTGCAGCACTGGGCAGTTGTGGCAGTGCCAGTGTGCACAGCACCAGGACAAGGTGCCAGTGCAGGAATGTTCTGTCACTGATGGTCACAGAAATCAGATCCTTCCTGGGAAGTCAGGCAAGGCTTGTCCTGCCAAAAGTGCTGGGAAGAAACCAGGCATTAATAGATCTTTATCTAACTAGTGCTTTTAAAAATACTTTTCCTTTGATCTAACAAGCATTACGTTAATGTCCCCCTGTTATATGCTCTGAATGGCTCCTCAAACATGCTGAAGACCTTTTCCCTATGGAGTTTCCTACAGGAGGCATCTGTTATCCCAGGGGCACTCACACACCACCCCCTCACAGACAGCAGGGAAACGTGTCAGGGGCTACAACCGAAACTGTCATCCTATCTGAAAGTCTGCATCTCCCAAAGTGTATTTCCAACATGAGAACAGCTAAAATCACACTTATGTATTCCACTGCTGTGTGTGAAATCCAGAATGCTTGCATGGCTTCCGAAGGGAAGCTCTGGAAAACAGCCATTGCACTGTCAGGAGTACTCCTGGAGGGAAGGGCTGACCCTGTCCTCACTGCCCAGCCTAAGATAACACTGGAAAATGCTCTATAGGTGCTGTCAGTGTACTTGTCTAAAAAGCAGGTTCTGAACAATTTCAAGTTGCAAATTACTTTATAAATCACAAGCCATTTTTCCTTAGTCTTGCCAATTTTAATGAAGAAAACTGTTAGCATTTCAATGTACAAAAGTCCAATAAAACATGATTTTTTTTCTTTTAAATCAGTGAGTGGGTAGTTTGGGTTAAACTTATTCATAACAGTAAAAGTCTTCCAATTTACACTAATAGAATTTTTTTTTCTGATTTGACTAGAGGATAATGACAATCCAGAAATAAATAGCTATAAATACATTCATTGTTCCTATTCCAAAAACTCATCACATAGGGAAGACATAAAACTGAAATTAACTTGAGTGTTTCTTTACAACGAGAGATGGGCGAGTTAGAGCAAAGTGACTTGGACAGGAGAGAAAACAAGTAGGGCAGAAATTGGTCCAGTATTGACATTCATGAACATACCAGTTAGCAAAATTCATCCTTTAAATGACACTACTCAGTTGATTTTTTTTTTATTTGCTTGGGGTATACATAATGAAAGCAGTTTCCTTGGAATCTTTGCTAGGACAGGTATAGCACCCGGAGACACTGTAACCACCCTTTCTGTCTGCATGTGTGTGTGTAGTTATATACAGAGTCATGCACCCACACACACAGCCAAGATCGGCACCGGCGTCCGTCCGGCGTCACTCGTCATTGGCAGCACTCGTTCCTCTCACTTGGCCTTGGTTACGCAGCTGTGGAGAGAGGAAGTGCAATTTCTGCATTAGCAGCTTCTTCACACACAGCTCCAAACACGCAGGGAGATTATCTCCAGGGAAAAGCAGGACAGGGCCTCAGAACACCACCGGGACCGAGAGTCACACCAAAGCAATGCCGGCTCCTGAGGGAATCCCAGTGGCAGCTGTCCTTGGCTAGGACCTGCCCCCAGGGGTGGGAGCAGCTCCCTTCACTGGGGAGCCCACACACATCAGTGGGATGTGGTACCCTTGGGCTGGGGTGTTACAGCAGTCCCTGTGAGGAACAGCAGCACCAAAGTGCCGGGCACAAGCACCAAGAGTCTCTAACTCCTGGAGAAGCTGCTCCTGCAGTAACAGCTCTGACACAGTTTAGTGTTGCAGGTGGAACTGGATTTCTAAGAACTGAATTTGTTTGGAAGGTGACACTCCACAGCTTCCCGAAGTGACACGGCCCGAGCCCACAGGTCACTCTGCTACCGCGGGTGCAGCAAAGCGACGCTGGCCTGTGGGACTGTGCCCAGAAGGGGCGGGTGCCAGGGCTCAGCGCCAGCGCCACGACAGCAGCACATCCCACACCAGGGCTGCCTGCCCTGGGTGAGCACCAGGCACCCAGGCAGGTGGACAACGCTGCAGGAATTCTGCTCCCAGCCTTAGTGCCTGCATCAGAGCCCACCTGGTGTGTCCTGGGCACCGCGGGTCAGTCCCACCTGCTGATCACCACACCACTACCGAGCGGGAGCAAGGTAAGGCCCACACGGGTTATGTGGACATTAAGATGATTTCTGCTAGCAATTCCCATCCAAAAGAACATTAATCCCTCTTCTCCTTTTCCATCCAGCAGTTGACTTACACAGCTCGCTTTGCCTCAGAACCTACAGAGAACTCCTCTAGACGTCCGCAGCCAAAGTGCCTCGAACGGAACCCTTCTTACGCATCTGAAGTGAAATAAAATGTGAGCTCCACACACAGAACCTGCACGCCGTGGTTAGTATGAGAGAAGGAATGACCTGCAGGCCCAGGATCTGCCTCTCCCTGGCCAGGGCCAGGACCAGCTACAGCTCAGGGGCTTTGGCCATGGTATGGTAATTCTTTTTGGCAAGGAGACCTGGGAACTGGAGAGCAGCTATAAACAATGCTGCTTGAATTTTTACCAAGCCCACGATGCTCCAGCATAGAATCACTGGTCAGGACAGCCAGTGTGGCATCTCTACCCTCACACAGGCATGAGAGAGGTTGGTTGCAGGGCTTTGGCTGGACCTGATGCTTTCCTACTCTGCACTGATGAGCTGATGCATGTTTCATGGAGCAGAGGTGCTTCTCATCTCCAGCATCCAGAGACAGAATCCACCAAGTGAAACATAAACAGTGATAAAAAGATGGACTGGGATAGAAGAACTCTGGAAGAACACTGATGAGAATTCAGAGAGTAACAGAAAGTAACAAAAGCAGAGATCCTGACTATAAAAATTGACTGAAGATGAAGCACAGGAGCAACAAAAGAACTGGAATGTGCACAGAACCCAGAAAAAGATCAGCTCGGAGCAGAAGGAAGAAAAGGTGTTCATGAGAAGGGGAAGAGTACCAAGACACTGTGTGGGAAAGAACATGCACTGCCAGCCCTGCTTTGTGCCAGGTTTGGCTCTCAGCATCACAGAACTGCCTAGAGCTGCCCTGTCCATTCCTGACCACTGCAGGGACAGGGACATATCTGTGTCACACGGAGCACCTCATCCCTGAGCACTCACTTCCCAGAGGTCCTGGCCATAGAACACACTTTGAGGTGTACTGGGGATGTAATGGCAGGTACTGGTGAGTACAATGGATGGAGTAGTTGAATATGAAACAAGAATGACAAATTATTTTGGAGAAAACTAGCATTCATATTATTTGGCAATGACATTTTTGCCCTTAGGTTGTCCAATAACACACTGCACCATAAACCCATGGAAATTACATCATTTATAGGTGTTTGTAGATATCCCTCTTGCAATATTTGGAAAAACCCCAAGACAGTAGGTCCTCATTCCTCTCACATTTCACGATATCCACAGAAATCTGGGTTAGTGTAACATCATACATTTATCTTGTGAAAAAAACCAAACCAAAACAACCCAATTTTTTCAACAATACACAAATTCCAAATTCCTGACACTAACATCTTACACAACAATCTATTTGCAAAAAAACAATTTGCCTTTGCAAAATGAGAAAATATTAAGTAAATAGGTTTGATGTTTAAGCATGAGAATAAACGTTACACCCAGAGACATGTGAGCTGGGTTTGGCTTAAGTTAAGAACTAAAAGAGCAGCAAATATTTTGGAAAAAATGTATTTAAAAGGAGCTACTTACCAGTGAGAAATGTGAAACAAAACATCCACAGAGACACAAAGGAACAATTTCACCATGCACACAGCTTCTGCTGCCTCTCTCCAGTACACCTCTGGTGTGCACTCCTCACTGCCACTAACTTTTCTCAGGGAAACTGGATAAAGTCTGTTCCAGTCCAAATTAATAACTATGGATGTGCAAAAGGGAGCCCTTCTGACAGAAATCAGTTTACAGAGAACAGCTGTTATGCTTCCTCCTCCACAGACACCTGGGAACAGGTGGCTCTACGAACAGGATCAGGCATAAATTAGAATTAAAGAAGAAACCCCCATGATTTGAGAAAATAACTGCAAAAAATACCCAAATGCCCATGAGAGAGCACAAGATCTGCAAGAGTGAGTGAACACCAACTTTGTCCAAAGCACATTGTGGGGCTGCTGACCCAACCCTCCAGCTTATGGGAAAAGAGCATTTGGTGCTACAGGACTGTGAAGAAACACTTTTCCAAACACAGGAAACATTCCCTACACAACACAGGCTGTTCCACACTGTTTGGAAAGTCCCTGGAGAGCAAGAGTGGGGAGGGAGGAGCTGCAGCTGTTTTAGTACCAAGAAGAAAGATGCACCAGGCACAGACCACAGAACGTGTCCCAGGGCCCCTGTCCAGAGCTGGTCTGGAGCCTCAGGCAACCAGGCTGGAGGTGTCTGGCATGGGGCAAACCATGCAAACAGCAAGCTGGAGCTGAAGACACTGGAACTGTTTGCATAACCTGAATGGGTTTGAGGCATGAAGCAATTGTCAAAATGGGAAGGAAACACAACTGCAAATCCAAGAACTGCAAAAATGCCAGTGGATTTAACATGGGAAAGGCTTATGCTAAAGGTCATGTTCTGGAAAGACTCTAGGGAAGGCTTCCTTCCCAGCCTGTGGTGGTTCTCTACCTCTGAATGGAGAGAGCAGTGACAGTGCCCTACGTCTGAGCTTTCTCCCAAACATCAGCCATGTCAGGCCACACAATTTGGTCCTCACAGCCACTAAAGCAGGAAAACTGACATGATCTCAGCTGATTTTACTGACTTTCTTTTTGGAAGTAAAACTCTGGTTTGGTGTGCTAATCAGAAGTGGAACAGCTGACAGGTGACACAAACTTGCTTGTAAACATGCTTGAAGAGAAAAAGCAATCCCATCTAGTGATGACCAGAAATGAAACAAAGCAAAACACGTGATGGAACGGGACAGTGACAGATTTGAGTTCCAACCAACAAGTGCCAAAAGGGCCCTGAGTGGGACTTCTGCAGTGGGTGTGGTGCCATAAGCACAGAGGTAGTCAGGGCAGACATCCTGCGTTTAATGACATCAGAGTACTTACCTTAAGGCAGCACAGAATGCAGGAACTGGAAGCCCATGGGGCTTCACTCAAGGGGCCACAGTGCTCATCAGCAATTGCCCAAACACACACACACACAGGCATGGACACCACACAACTTGCCTCAGTTTCTGCACAGATAAATCTGCAGGTAGAAGCACACTGAGCCTTAAAAAAAAAAAGCTTTCTTACCGCTTCCAGCTCCTTCTGGGTTTCATCCTCCATCCTCCTGATGTCCTCCATAGTCAGTTCAATCCACTTGTCAATCCAACAGAACAGCTGGCGGTGGAAGTTGGTAAATATCCTTTTTTCTTGCTTTAAGAATATAAACAAGCATTAGATCACAGACAGGCAGGACTTGCTAAAGGCTGGTGAAGTGATAGTAGCTGCTCAGTTTGCAGAGTAAAAAATCTTGAAGTGAGTGCTACAGATTCAGTCACCTCACACCCCTGGATCCTATTTAAATTCACCTCATTTCTCAAATGCTTTTAACATGGAAAGAATGAACAAATTTCACTATCAAAAGAAGAGTTTCAAGAAAGTTCAGCCATTCACATTACTTGAGAATTATGAAGAATGTTGTTAAAATCTGTTCCAGTTCCAAGTGGCAACAGCCAAACCAGAACATCCACTTCCTAAAGATTTTGCTTTTTTCCCCAGAGAATTGTTCTGGTACTACCAGTAAAGCCTCACTTGCAGCAAACCAAGACACAAATGGTTTGACTGGCTGGGGAAAAGGACAGAAATTCCCTGGCTTTGAGCAATAGGAAACTGCACTACTGTTCCTGCTCAAACCCCCACATCAACACAGCCCCAAAGGCAGAAGTACTCACCTTTTGTATAAAATTTTCCACTTTGTTCTGCAGTCCCCACCACTTAAATTTGATGGTCACCAATTTGTAAGCACACATTTTGGGACACTCCTCATCAGTTGCTAACTCCTTCTGTTTGGGGATAATAGAAAAAAAGTTTTAATACTTTAAAAGTGTAATTATTAGAAATTGTAATTCTAATTAATGCATTAGAATGATAAATAATATAGTTAATTTATAGTAAATTAATACAGTAAATTAATAATTATTATAATAAAATATTATTCTAAGCATTATTACAGAAAAACAGTATTCTAATCAGTAACTTGGGGCTGTTCCTGACAGACTCCCTGTGATTCACTCCAGGGCACAGCAGTGGGCTGCTCAATTCCTGTGGGATCTCTGGTGTGGCACACACAGCCCATTCCCTCCTGGGATAGATTCTGATGGCTGGCAGGGCGTACTGGCAAGCTCTGTGGTGCTTTTGGGGTGTCACATGGGGGATGTGCTGGGCCACAGAAAATTTGTTCCTCAACTGGAGCTGAGCCAAGTTCTGAAGGAACCATGAACCTTGTTATTCTGCTGATAAAGACTTCCTAAGGTTTTAACAACAGTTCCTAGTACCTTCCAGTTTGGCCCCAGAGGTCCTCTCTTTGTCTTAACTGACTGGAATAATGCAGGATCTTCCTCAGCTTTGTAGTCCTGTAACATAAAACACTCTGAGAGTCAGAAAACACCAACAAATTCAATATCCCACTGTGTTAAGCTTCTGCTGGAGCAGGATGGGTGTAGCGCAGCTGCCAGGCTGGCTCCATGCCTCCATCACACCTGCTCCCAACACAACAGCTCTCCAGGGCTGCCCTGTGCTGTGCACACTGTGACATCTGCACTGCCCCACTGGGTCTGTGACCCCTGACAGGAGGAGAAGGCAATAATTCAGCAACCAGCATGCTAAAGCTATTCAGGCTGCAACACATGGCCACTGCTGGGGAGGCAGAACAGGAGAGAAGGAGGGCAGAACAGGAGGGAAGGAGGGCAGAACAGGAGGGAAGGAGGGCAGAAGCAACTCCTTTACACAACTCTGAGACCCCAGCCTGAGCCAGGAGCAGAGCCCACATGGTGCTGCCTCACCATGGACAGCTCTGCTCACTCCCTGTGCATGGGGGGAAAGCCAATGGGTACAGAGCTGAAAGGGACAAATGTTTCCAACAGATGGGTTTACTGAATTTTACTGATGAGGGCTACGAAAATGATTATTTGATAAAGATGCTGCCATGGAACTAGGAAAGGATTAAAAACTCTGGGCTCTGTGAAAGCAAGTAAGGTTTGTATTGTGTATAAAAACCATTTATCCAAGATTACCATTACATCCATAAAACCCAACTGTAACAATTTAAGTTGCTTCAAAACAGAACAAATGCTTGGTAGGTGCTACAGAAAAGCCTAAGAAAGTTTAGCAGAGTTTAAGGTCTCATTTTTAAATAAAGTTTCAGTGAAGTGAAAATCTGCAGAACATGGAGTGAAAGAAACACCTCCATGAGAAGCAGCTCCTGGTTGCTGGAGACCACAGCAATTTTCAACTCCAGATTCTCCCATCAGCACAGAGGAACAAAGGCTACTTCTAGACTAAATTCTGAATCCACAGAGCAAGGTTACATGTATTAACTGTTAATGCTTTACAGATATTCTGACATTTACAAAAACCTATTGCAAGCCAAATGGAGCTGAAAAATCCAGGAAGTCCTCTCAGAGGAATGTGATTTCACTTACAGAACATCAGCTGTTACACTTTCTTCTCCCCAGTTTTCTCTCATTGTTCCTAGTTCTTTGAAGATGCCTACCTACATTGCATATTAAAATAGGCTGAATATTTAAAATAGGCTAATTTATCGAGAAAACATGACTAGGTGTTCAGACAAACTTCCATACTGAGGACTCAAACATATACTTTAGGAATTGAGCAGGTATTTCCTAGAAGCAGCCAAGTGAGTGAAGACATTTCAATCTCATTGCAAATCAGTGTTCTATGGACTTCCACAAACCAGCACTCCCCTCTAGCTCTCCCTCTAAGGCAAAACAACATTCTACTTTGAAGAAGCCACACAACAGTCAGCCAGCCTCAGCAGGGGCTGCCATGGTGCTCCACAAGCCTTCCCCCGCCTCAGAGCCTGAGGAACCAGCATTAGCACTGCACAGCAACACTTAAAACATTTAAAGTTTTGAATTATTATAACTGCAGAAAGACCACAAGCCATATTTGTCAACTGAATTTCAGTGAAACCCACTTATTTATGATTTTATTGTAATAAAGCACATGTGCTTTCCACAGACGTCACAAAGAGCAAATTCACAGCAGCACGTGATATCCAGCCCTGAGCCCCTTCCTGTTGCACTGAGCACAGCCACTGGCTGTGTCTGGGACCAACTTCTCAACTCACACATTATTCCCAAATACCGTGGGAGAGGAGAGCTGCAACCCACTGGAATCCTCAAGTTCTGCATTGTCCTGGAGGCTCAATGTGATGCACTTTTAAAAAATTATTTTTTAACAATCCTTGTGTGGAAAAAGAGTCATCTTTACATTTAAATTACCTTTAAGATACCTATGCAAATACTACAGCAAAATGTTTTTATAGAAATACACTGAATGTTTTAAATTACTGATTATGACTGACTGCCTTTTAAAAATTTCACTCAACCACTGGATAGAAGACACTGAAGTGAATCAAGATACAGCAATGGATAAACAATTTGGCCAATGTAACTAATTGCTGGCAGAGCTGCTGCTGGTTTCAGGCAGCAACATGCCAAAAAGAAACACAAGAATTCAACATCTTAGTGCCAGTTTTATAAATAAAAGCAGGTACTGCATTAAGACAACCCTGAATTTATTTTCACTGTGTGAACATCCTGCCAAAGCAGAGCTCACTGTAGTGGTGTGAGGCATGAGGCATTTGAACTGTGCTACATGTGCAGCCTTGATCTGCCTGCTTTATACAGTGGAATGATTTGTCTTGGACACTCAAGTCCAAGTTACCTGCCATCCTACCTCCCACTGCACAGGGACACTGATAAAAAGCAACTGTGCTCTTGCATTTAGGATCCATGTAAAAATAACCACAGCTGGAAACATTGGGGAAGAAAATGTTATCTATGAGTAAAATGTAGGAGTGAAAACAGAAATTCCAAGGAAATAGATGAGTCAGAGTAAGGTTTCATATGCTAGAGACAGAAGCTTTGAAGCAAGACCTTTTAGAACTGAGTTAACCCAAATCCTATTAAGGACAGGAAAAACCCTTTATAGACTAAAGCCTAGATGGACAGGAGAGCATTGTAGGAACTCTTCTCTACACACAAATCCTACAAGCATGCAGGGAAGAAGACTGGACTAGAGCCAAAGTACAAATAAACAACAGTTCTTTGCAGAGTTTAAGGAAAATATCTGTGCAGCAAGAGCTTAACTCCTGACAACAAGTCCTTCTTAGGAAGAAAAACAGGCAGCTGCTGGAGCAAATATTACAGCTCAAACCCCTGAAGCCCTCTGGAAAGCTAGACAGGCAAACATAACAAGACAGCATAACAAGACAGAGGAGCAAAACCATTAAATAAAAATACACAAATGCCATTTCACAGGCAGCTTCTGCTCAAATTCTCAGTACAATATGCATGAATGCAACCATCTATTATAAAGAATGATTTTAGACAGCCTGAACTACATGAAAATGGAATTGAACATGGAGTGGCATCATACTAACTAGGCAGGTGGACAAATTCTGGCTTTCCAGATTAATATCCTACTGGTGTTTTAATCAAGAGAATGTAAATACTACTGGAGTTATCAAGCAAAAAACTCGCATACAGATCCTGTGGAAGGTACCACCCACCAGAACTTCCCTCCAACATCATCCACAGCTCTGTGAGTGCTCATTCACAGCACACCAGAAGACCAAAATCAGGTTTATCAAAGTATGCCATACTCCCAACTCAGTGCATGATTCCCATATCTCATAAGTGAAACAGTGACCAGCACCACTGTACACTGCCCTGACAGGCACTCGTGTGTTTTAAGTAGCTTTAGCTAAATGGCTTTTAATAAAAAATGTCTTGCAATCACTCCCATCTTCTGAAGAGTCCTGCAGCTACAGCACAGCTATCAGGGGAACCATTGCCTGAGATCACCTTTGAAAGAATGCCAAGGTTCAAAAGAGAAATGAAACCAGCCCAGTTATCACGGACACACATCATGGTGCCTGCCCAGAGCCAGAAGTTAAAGGTCACTGGGAACAAGGCTGGAAGAGATGAATATTTATAAACAGGATGAAAAGAGGGGCATAAAACTAAAAGCACATCATATTTGTACACAGATAGGTTGTCCCATGGGATGTGCCATTGCATGATGAATCCAAGGTTCAGCACATGGAGCTGTTTAGCTGCCTATCGTGGTAAATTAAGTCTGAAATGGGAGAGATCCACCTATCAAGCTCTGTAACTTGAGAATCTTTTAACACTTCCTTACAGACTACAAAAGAGCAAGTCCTATATTCCAATATATTTCCTCAAATTGTAGAAAACTGGACAGCACACAGAAATTCAAACTCTTAAGGCATGTGTAATCTGACTGGTTTGTAGAAAACTGGAATTTTAGAATTTTCTTTCCAAGTAATAAAGACCCATTATGACCTAAACAAGACATTTAATGTCTTCATTGTACAAAAATAACTATGAACCTGATATCAATTTGCTTCCACTACACTCTACTTTTCTGAAAATTATTTCCAAAACCACAGCCTCCTCTGATGTTCATCAAGTGCTCATTTTTGCTTACACTTTAAAAAGTCTTTCTCTCCTGGGCAGTCACTTTTATATACAAACAACATGAAGTGACACAGACTGCATGCTGGAGATGATTAAGAGAAGGCAGGGTTAAATGTGTATCTAAAGAAAGTCACAGCTGTCACCCAAAATATTTCTATACATACTTAAATGAGCACAAGTCAGCATGTTAATCTTGGCAATTTTGTTATGATGTAGCTGAACTTCCAAAAAAAAAAAAAAAAATTCAAGTTCCATTACCTAAACTTGATAAAGATAACAGCACAAATAGAAAGTGTCTCTCCTGAAGTCCTAAGAAGTAAAAAGAGAGAAGACAAAGGCCAGAAACTTCAGACTTTTATAACAGAAAAGAGTGGGTCCCAAAGGATTCCTGATGTCTAATCCCATAAGGGAAAAACAAGTAAGCAGCAAGGATGTCAGTCTGCAGGTAACTCAGAGTCACCAGTGTCTGCTAAGAGTTTAATCACAAAGCCAGGCTTTGGTTAATGAAGTCAGGACTTAGCAAATAGTTTCTGGGAGATGAAATGGAAATAAAAAATTCAATCACAAGGTGAAAATTAATCCCAAGTATTCCTACACAAAAATGGGCTATACTGTGAACTTGAATCTACAAAGATCCTCTAAAATATTTGCTAAAAGTGGAAAAGTTTTATAAACTTCTATAAATGGCTTTTATAGAAGTTTATAAAAAGGAAACAGAAATGTAGAAATATCACAAGAGACTTAAGACTGGATGAGACCACTCTGCACTCAGTTTTGATACTCTGTAGGTCAAATGTACAAAAGAAAAAAGAGGATTATGTACTGAAAATAGTTCCAAAGACTTCCTGCAAAGAAGTCCTCTTCCCGGAATGCAGGATATCCAAGTATCCACTTTCAGAAAATAACAGTTAAACACTATAAAGAGCCTCTCCTTGCACAAAACCAAGACAATCACATTTATTGTGCAAACACAGTCTCCATATTAGTGCCTACCATTTCCCTACTGTCCAAAAAATATTACATGTCCAATAGTCCAGCTGTTACAATTTAACAAACCAGGTAACAGCCCCAGCAGATCCAGATGTGCAGAAAGAATCAGCAGTAAAACCAAAGAAGGAAGGCAGGCACATAAATGAATGGTTCTGTTAAGGACACTTCTTATGTCTCTGTTGGGTGAAATCCACACCATTTTAGCTTATTCACTAAAAACACAAAGCACAAGTGGAATCAACTGCATGCTACATCCCAATCCCAGTAGCAGAACATTTACTTACTCCTGGTTCTACTTGAGTTCTATCTGCAATGTCAATATGGACAACCTCAACACTCTTCCATGTGTTTGGATCTAAATTGTGAACCTGCAAAAAAAAGAAGTAATTACTCCCATGCTGGGAATCACACAGTGCTGCACCTTGTGCAGTACATGTGTGCCAGGGAGTTTTTCAGGATGTTGTAAAGGCAGCATTCTCCAAACCTACCCTTACTTCCTCTGCCTTTCTCAAAGGGAATGATCTCTACAATTACAGTTTAATTCACTCACTAATCAATTTTAAACCAGCACAAAGCCTTCACTTCTTGTGCATTCAGGAAGCCTGGATTTCAGATTAAGCTGTATTCATCTGCCACATTTGTTAGCACTAATGAAATCAAACTCTAATTAGTACCATTACCCATTCCATAATCTGCATGAACTTTTTGAGCTAGATAGGTGGTTTGAAAATTCCAAGTGCAAATATACAGATTTCAATGATCTAACTGATCTCACAGATTCCTGAATCATAGGCCTGCCTTGAACCAGGTGTAGCCTGAGGGTGTGTAAAGGTCTGAGGATGGAATCAGCTCCACACCTGGGGTCTGTCCAACACACCTAAACTCAGTTACAGCCAGTGGAGCTGTCCAAGAACAATCCCCCTTCTATGTAGCACACCCAGAGTTACAGCTCACCCAAGCACTGGAAACAGGCTGACAACTACTCCTCTCTGGATGGTTTATAAATGTTTGTCACTACAGATCAAAATTTTCATTAAGTGACGCATGAACCAAACTGACTGCCTGGGGAGAAAACAAGAACATCACCAGCTGGGACAATTCACAAAGGCAGCTTCAATATTTAACTACAGTGCTCACAGATCAATTCCAGTGGTCTTGTGAAACCTGTTTCCAAATAAACTTGTCAGCCTAACTTGTCAGTATGTCTACAATAAAAGAACATGAAATTAAAAAAAGGACCTGCTGAGAAGCTATTTAAGTATTTGCATGAGAATCAAGCATCTATATTGACCTCTAAATATAAAAACCAAACCTCTTCTCCTGATCTCCTTAGATAACACAGCTTGACCACCTCACAAGGACCTGAAAAATGCTTTTCTTGCTTTACTCATTGGTCAGGCATTGACTTTGTGCAGTAATTATCCACCATCACCAAGTATAAAATACTTTATCTGTATTAATTGTACAATTGCACTAATGCTTGGTATCCAAACCCCAACTCACGTTCTCTGTTGTTCCCAAATCTGGTTTATGCCAGGTCTCAATTTTTATGAAGAAGTCATCTTTCATGTATTCATTCTGTAAGAATTAAAAGCAAAAAGCTCAAGTCTGATTACATCTCTCTGTTCTAAGTTTAGATAAATGGTATTTACATACACGCCACTGCTAATTCCTGACTAGCAATACAATATATTGAAATTACCAGAGAAACAGCCCCTCACCTACACACAGAAATAGGTACATGATAATCTTAAACCAGAGCAGTGAGTACTAAATTAAAACCAGTCATGTGCAAGAAATCCAGCTCTACCTGTGCACACCAGTAGAAATAACTCTGCCATTTCCTGTCCTGCTTCCTCAACCTGAAGTTCTTTACCTCAGTGTTCAAGTAATTTTCAAATTATTAATCCTGCAGTTAGATGTTACTGTACAGCACAATTACAATCATAAAGCTGGATCATAATGGTCCAGCTTCCACCAAACTGTACATCTAAAGACAAGGACAGAGCCCTGCTGATTCCAGAAGTCAGAGGGCACACACCTTTGTGCACAGCTACCACGATGAGTCAAGCTCAACAGCCCAAACTCACTTGTGTCACATCCACATGGTAACAATCTGAACCATGTTTGCAACTGAGCAGATAAAGCAGTTTAACATTTAACTAGTAAGTTTTCAGTAAACAGATCACCAAAACATGTGAAAAAGCATTAAAATCTTAATGATGTGCCTCTCCCATGCATCTTATAAAAACAAACCCAAATCCTGAGCTGTGCTGATCCATTTAGATTCCCAGTTACCCCATTTTAACTGGGGCAGGAATTCATTTTACAGCAATAGCACTTCAGATAGGCAGGGACTGATTCCATTCCACTGCATTCAGGAGTGTAGAAGCCTCTGATATGTCACTTTTCCCCTACCACTTTTTTTAGCATTACGTCTTACAAGGACAGACATGCATCTGTAATGGTAATTAAAGGCATAAAAGAAGACACAGAAAATGAAATAATTTCTCTGACAAATTAAAGTTTTAATTACAGCCACACACAGATAAATAATGTGAAGGGAGTTACTTTGTTATACTCTACACCAGGAGTCCTAGCAAGACACATCTGACAGGCTGGAGTCAGACAATTGTGCTGGTAGTAACAGACAAAATGAATCTCAAAAAAAAACCCCAATATATGATTGGTAGGGTTTCAAATACTCACTGTCACAACTGGTGTCGTTGGAAAACACGTGCAATGAAAAGGAAAAGAAAACAAAGAGCATTATTAGATACAATTGTTTCTGAAAGGTCCTACATATAAAAACACCAACAGAACACACATGGGGGAGACTCACTTGTTCTACAGTAGGGATATGCATTCCAGGCCTTCTCGTGGAACACAAGGGAGCCTTCTGGAGCAATCATCCTTACAAACCCAGGGACTTTACTGGGAAAACAAACATGGACAATGTGTTTAAAATCCTGCCAGCTGAAATTCCTCACTGCTTCCTTCCACTCCAATAAGAAAGGCACATTCTACCCAAGCATTTGAGGGGTTATGATGCATGTTGTCACCTGCAGTGAAATACACAGGAACTTCAAAAACCTTTCTGATCATGACATGGTTGAGAAAAAATGGGAAAGGTAATGATAAGGTAATTGAGAGTGAGCTATGTGCTAGTGAGGAATGCTGTGCTATCCTTCCTCTTGCAAAGCAGCAAAGACACCTGCTGAGGATGAGCACTACAGAGCCCTCACCTCCAGCTCCCTGGCAAGCAGCTCCTGACCTGCAGCAGGAACTTTATGTCCCACTCATCTGATTTCAAATCCACTGCATTTCACATTTCCCCACTCACCAGAGCACTCATGCACGATTCAGCAAATTAAACCTCACCTTTCAACATTTCTTTCTCAATACCAAGGGACTACAATGTGCATCAAGGCTTTCCTCACCTCTTTAAATGATAGATTTTGTGAGTATATTGCCCCTTCTCGCCATCCTGTTCATAAGGCTCATTTTTTAAGACCTGAATTCCTTCCCCACCTCCTGTTTCGTTTTTGCTAGCTTCTGCCACAGAATAAAGTTGACCAACTTGATACTGGAAAAGGAAAGAGAAGTCAAACGTTAGCACCAAAGTTGGCCAAAAACTTTTAACACATTAAATACAATTAGTTGTTTCCTCTGACAATTCAGTAGTACAAAAAAGACTATTAGTAAAATACATCATAGAAAAGATATTTAGTGCACTCTGACAACTTTTTGGCAACACATATCTGCAGCTTGCAAACACCAACTCTACACACCAGCTGTTGCACAGCAACCCAACACTTTGGTGCACAGCATAGCTCTTGGGATAGGAAAACTGAAGTGTATTTGTTGTTCTTCATTGCACCAAGAAATCTAAATTTTGAGTTTATAGATTTTGGAGTGACTGATTTACAGCTCTGAGTCTTCCCAATTCACACTTTCAACCAACAAAATACTGCCCTTACAGGACCCAGGAAATGCACACTACAGACCAAGTGTGATATTTCTCTCAGAAGCACATTCAACACTCTGTCATGACAGACATCCTATGATAATTCTTATTTAAGTGCACTTCAGTGCCATTTGAATTGCTGGCTTCAGATCTGGGAAGACAATTCCTTCACCTGTGGCTTCAGGAAGAGGTTTGGAGTCCCTCAGTGCTGGATCAGCAGCAAAGTGCTGCCCCAGGGCACAGCTGCACTGGTGGCAGGGCAAGGCTCAGAACGCCTCAATGTTTGGTGCTGCATTTGCTTCCTTGGAAATTCCTTGCTCAGAACAGGACTCACAGCTGTGTCATTCATCTCTGTCAGTGTGGCCACAGCACAGGGAATGTTTGGACTCAGGCTGGCCATGTTTCTGACACAAAATCCCCTCCCACCCCTCAGTCTGAATAAAGCAGGGAGGATCAGGACATACCTCTTGCACTGAGCAAGGTAAAACCACTCGGCTGAAAGAGGAAAAAAGAAAACTCAGTAAAACAAATCATTAGACTTCAACTGCAGATAATAGATATAACACAGATGCTGAAGAAAGAAGTGTCAAAAAGAGCCAAACTAAGTTTACTCTTCAGAAATCTCTGTGACAGGGAGGCTTTGGATATAACCCAACAAACCCAAGTAAAGTTCAATGCCAGATACGTTACAAAATGAAACACAAGGGATGGAAGATGTTAGAAGCCGTTCAAAAGACCCAGGAAATCTGGGACCCACTTCCAGCTCTGTCAAAATAACTTCGTGTTATGCTAAATTTGTTCATAAACTTTTCAACCTGCACATTACCTTTACCACCACTGAGGCTACCGTCACTTTGACTGCAATTATTTCACAGGACTTTGAAATAATAAGCAGCCGAAAGGCGGGACAGAGAAACAAACCAGCCCGTGCTTTGCTGGCAGGAGCCCCCACGGGAAGGATCTACCCAGAGCCGGGAGCAGGGAAGGGCTGTGGCCCCGCTGCCGTGCGAGGAAGTCGGGGAGAAAGCACCGGCGGCGCCTGCCCAGGCCCGGGCGGCGCACGGAGCTCGCGGAGCAGCCGCTGCGCGGCCGCGGCTCCCGCTGCGGGCAGGGACCGCCGGCGCCGCGGCCCCGCCGTGCCCAGCGGCCTCTCCCGTGAGGGCGGCACCGGAGCGGCCCCGGGGCCGCACGGCAGCAGCGGCGCGGGCGGGCCCCGGCGGCGGGCGCGGCCGGGGCAGACCCGTCGGGGCGCGGGGCCCGGGCGCTGCAGCGGTTCCGGCGGCCCCGGTGGCGGCTCCCCGCGGTGCCGGCTCGCCCCGTGCCCGCCGCCCCGGCCCGGCCCCGGCGCTGCCCCCACTCACAACTCCTTGATCAGCACCATCTTCCCGCCGCTCCGCGCACGCGCCGCTCCCACCCCCCGCCAGGCCCCGCCCCCCGCCCGCCCGCGCGGCCAATCGCGCTCGCGCCTCGCCGGGGCTGGGGGGGGGGCGCGCACGCGCCGGCTGCCCGCCAATCCGAGGGCGCGCAGCTCCCGCGAGCTCACACCTCACCCGTCGGCAGCCAATCGGAACGAGGCGGGCCGGCCCCGGGGAGCGTTGCTGGCGGGGTGACGTCAGCGCGGGGCGCCCGTGAGGGGCGTGAGGGGCCGGAGAGCGGCCCCGGTACCGAGCGCGGCCCTGGAGGGCAGCGGGACGGCCCCTCCGCACCGCCTGGCGGGCGGGGACGGGCCGGTGCTGCACACTCCGGTTGCCCGCTCCGCGGTGTCGGGCCCTCGCGACGCCGTTACCGAACGGGGTCACCCGCAGCGTGCGGGGAGCGAGGAGCTGCAGTGCTGGTGAATTTCGGGGTTCCGCTGTCACACCCAGCACCGTGTGCGGCTCCTCTGCCTCTGTCACACGAGGGAAGCTAAAATCCCCATTTTACAATGTTTCATGCAAAGTCCTTCACCCGCCGATCCCAGTCAGCTCTGGGCTGCCCCTGTGTTGCCACGCAAATGAAAGCGCAGAAAATCCGCAGCTGACTCGGTTTCCGCGGCCAATGCCGCCCTCTTGTGAGACCGCTCATTTCAGCCTCCATCGCAGTCACGGGAAGGACGCAGGGATTAATAACAACCTAACAAAGTTCAGCCACGCTGGGGCTTCCACCTTCAGCTGGCTAAGAATTCAGCTAAGAATTACAAAATGAAAGTAGTCTGTGTGTCTAAAAGCTCAGAAACCTTGAAAGAAGGCTGAAGTCAGCCCCAGGTGGAGCCCTTCAGGCTGTGAGGAACCTGCTGGAGAGGAATTCCAGTGGTACCTCAGGGGTGTGAGAGCTGCCAGTGCAGGGCAGTGTGACAGGGACAAGTCCTACCGCAGCTCCTGGCTGGGGGCAGAGGGATGGCAGCACCCAAGGCATGTTCTGTGTGTTGAATTTGGCTTTATGCTGGTTTACATAAGGATGGAAGTTATCCTGTGGCAAAATGTTGCCCTAAGAACAAAGCAGCTAGGAAATACTTCCACTCTCAGGTTCTCAAAAATTGTAATTCAAGGAAAATGACAGGATTTACTAAAAATTATGTATTCTAAATATATTTATTTGCTTTCTATTTCCTGAGCATTAGGTTTCATTTTTATCTCCAGATGTTTTCCACAGCCAGCAGATTTTTGCTTTCCCTCTGTTTGAAATGCAGAGAAAAAATGTAAAATCAGGTAAACTGGAAAGAAAAACACACTTTGTGTTCCAGTGGTGCATCCTTTTCCTCAGAGGTGATCCGTGACCTTCTCTGCAGAGCCCTGGTGAAGCCATCGTCCCCCACATTTCTTCTTGCCAGGAGCCAGAACCAACGAGGCATTTACACGAAGGACAGAAATCCTGATAAAATTAGTGTTGCCAAGCACTCCTCCCCCACCTAAAAGGCTGTAAACCCTCCACAGGCTCTTCCTATGGACACCTCCTTCCATGGAATCCTTGAATGGTGACTCAGGCCTGCCCTGGCTCGGGCCATGAGGAGCAGCAGGGTGGGTGTAAATCTCAGTTCCCCAAGCATTCAAGATTTTCCTTTATTTGGTTTTTCAAAACGCTGGCAGCATGCAGTGCCTGCTGCTCCTTCCCCATATGGACAACATTTGCCTGGTGTTTGCTCAGCCCCCAAAGCCTCTGTTTACAGCTGCATCCTGCCACACACGAGTGTCACAAGCAGCCACATCCCGCTGACCCAGAGCTGGCACAGACAAAGCGCTTGAGCCCAGCTCCACCACAGCCCCTCCGGAGCAGGGAATGCTGCCCCAGGAGCTGCTCCTCATGGCAGGGCTCAGCCTGCAGCAGAACCAGCACTGCCAGCAGCCCCTGGCTGCTCTGGCTGTTTAGTTTCACTGTCTCCAACTTCCTCTCGGTACAAGGGCACCTTTCACATGGGGGCAGAAGATTTAACTCATCGAGTTCCAGCTGGCATCGGTATGGGGAAATCTCTCATCCCGTCAGCACTGGGCTCTCTAACAACCCTCAGAGCTCCTCCCAGCCCTGCATGTCCTCTGCTACAAGAGACAGAAGTAAAAACTGGCACTCTCACCACCTGTCAGGAGGAGGAAAAACAATTTCCAGTGAGGTATCAGGAACACTGCACTGCACACATAGGGGAGGGAAGTTCCTGAGGGAGCTGAGAGCTGCCCTGAGTTTCAGCCACGCTCTGCCACAGGATGTGGTCACCCAGGGGAGCTGGGTGTGGGCAGAGAGCAGCGAGCCAACATCCCCAGCATCCTTCCAGATCAAGAGACTGAGGCACTGAGAGAACTCATGCTTTAATAGACACTGAAATCACAAAGAAGAAAAGGCCAAATGCCTTAGAAATTTCAATAAAAATATGAAAATCTTTTTACATGGTAAATTTCATAATATAAAAAGTTTAATGCTGTCTGGAAACAGAGTTTTAATTTACAAAGGAAGTCCACAGAGGCCAAAACATGGCTAACACTGCACGTAGGGAGAGCGAGTGCTGAAGGGCTGCTGCTGGGAAGCCTCTGCTGACCATCCTCTCTGGGTCACTGTCTCCAGTGCTCTTCTGCAGCTGAGGGGATGAGTGTCCACACACACGTGCAGCCTTGCTGGGCAGCGTGGCAATGCAAAGAACCCGAAACTGCTCAAACCCATTATCACCATCCAGCTGAAACTACTAATGCTTCCTAACAGATTCACAGACACCTCTGTGCCCCTGGATCTGTTCTGCAACTTGGAAGAGATGTTCACAGAACGAGCTTGCCCTAATGAAAGAAAATATGGCCTAGAGTGATATGCATGAGTGTAGCATCCCCCCAATGCTTTTTCCTTGTTTCAGTAAGGTATGATTAAACAGAAGGAAAACCACTATCAGGCCAGAGGTACAGGCTAACCAACAAAATGAAATTAAACTAGATTTTGATCACAGGGGCTGTTTACTGTTCCCATTTAGCTGGAGCTAAAGACAGTCAATAAAAAATCTGAAATCTCACACAGTAAAACGTACAGGGCAAAACCAAAACATTCTGTGGCCTTGGGGAACGGTTGCATGTGGCAGGTTTAATGTGAAAGTGGTTAATACCTAATTGTTATTGCTCACTGTATTACGCAGTGTTGTCACCTGTACCATGCACAAATACAACAACGACAAATGCATTAAACCCACAGAAGGAATTCTAACAGCAAATGGAGAACATGTGATTTTCATTTCCTGAATTTCTCCACGTGTTGGGCAAACCTGATAAAACTCTTTTTTTTTTCCTCACAAAGGGGTTGTTTCTCATTCAGGAGGTGGAGGAGTGAGGGACAAGGTGTGCAGTGTCTCCCAGCCACGAGTAAGCATGCATTTCATGGCTCCTGGCACACCAATGGAAGTGACCTGTGCCAAGTCAATGGAGACCCATTTCCCAAAAGACTTGTTCTAGTGACACTCACCTTCCATATTTATACAACATCAAATTCCCCAAATACTGAACTCTCTACATCTGAACCCTTCCCTGCTTCTAATGCTCCCCCCTCCTTAAAAATAACAACAGAAGAACCACTTCCCCACACCCCCCACCCCGATTTAGCTCTGTCTGAAAGCTTTAAGCCAGCATGAAACCTGCTGGAGCACAGAAATGGGTTGTAACAAAATGGCAGCATAGAATTTCTACAGGTTAAAAGATCCTTTAGTTATGGAAGTAAACTACAACAAAGAGGCTTATTTCTGGCATGTTATGCAGCACTACAGGGAGTATTTGCTGTTGCTATAAACAAAAAGCTGCCCACTTCCATCCTGGGTGTTCCTGGGATGTCGTTTCAAAAAGTTTATGCTGGTTAGAAACAGAGCAGGTCACATGAAGTCTCTCAGCAGTCCTGTGACCACAGTAAGTGGCATGATCAACAGCATCTCTGTCTCCACAAGGGGCAGACACTGTGCTGACTCATTTTGGCCCACTATTCTAATTTTTCCTGCCAAATGACACGAAGGTGATGTTTAGCACCAAACCATCACAGGAAGATGTCATATACAGACAAGTAACTTGGATCATAATGAGTTGAACAGATTGACTCAACTGTTCTGCTACATTGTGTATGAGTAGGTAATTACTCTTTCTCTCTGCACTGAAAACTTAGTGATCCCCCCTCCCTTGTTAGCTGGCTGTAACAACTCAGCCCAGTATCTTTTGCCTTTAGTGCTTGTGTTAATTTCTTGCCACAATGAAAAGGAAAGCATTCTCCAGAAACCAGCAGACTCCAGAATATTCTCACAGCACATATCTGATTATGCCTGTGAGTAAGCTGAGCCTAAGCATTCTTGTGTTTCCATATCAGAACTGAATTCTCTGCCCTGCTATCATGCTTTTCCTCCAAGATCTCTTAGAAAATCACTAATTATCAGATCCACATTTACAACAAGAGCATCCAGCCATGCTAAGTACAATTCTCTGCATCAGCAACATACCTCTGGTGCATCCACAGAGCTGCCTGCACTCTCCATTCAGCTGCAAGACTGGAAGTTGACTTCAGAGCCAGCTAAAACTCAGGGACTAATGAATTCAGCCTCACAACACCTCTGTGAGGTAGGTAGGTTAAGTATTACTATCCCCATTTAGAAAGGGAAGACGAGGCACGGAGAGGTGAAGTGATTAGCCTTCAGTCACTCAGCCAATTCTGGGAGTGCAGAATAGACACCAAAATCTTGGTGATACAGTGCTCTGACTTCACAGCCTGGGAATACCTTGCGTGGATCTGAGCTCACGTGGCGGGGTTGCTGCTGCCGCATGCCCACGGCCTCAGTGCATGTCAACGATCACTGGGATCCTGATCACAGCACTGCATTCCACAGCCACCTAGAAACCATCTCCAGCCTGCCCCCAACTCCTAAACCCCACCTAGCCTAGAGAAGCTGACTGTACATATTGCCCTGGGGGTGCTCTTGGTCGCCTTTTCCTCCACATGTCAGAGGGCACTCAA